CCCTTCATAAGGACCCTTTTCATCGAATCCGATCCGACTAAAGTGGGAGAGACAGACACCCGCTAGCCACCTTATGCAACTAGTGCATGTCAGTCGGTGGAACCTGTCTCACGTAAGCGTACGTGTAAGGTCGGTCCGAGCTGCTTCATCCCACGATGCCGCCGAATCAAGATAAGACTAGTAACGGCAAGTAAATTGACAAAATCAATGCCCACAACAACTTGTGTTCTACTCGTGCATAGAAACTACGCATAGACCTAGCTCATGATGCCACTATTGGGGATCGTTGCAGAAATTTAAAAAATTTCTATGCATCACCAAGATCAATCTATGGAGTTTACTAGCAACAAGAAGGGAGTGCATCTTCATACCTTTGAACATCGCGATGCGGAAGCGTTGCAAGAACGCGGTCGGTGGAGTCGTACACGAAGCGATTCAGATCGCGGCTGATTCCGATCTAAGCGCCGAACAACGGCGCCTCCACGTTCAACACATGTGCAACCCAATGACGTATCCCATGCCTTGATCCAGCAAGGAGAGAAGGAGAGGTTGGGGAAGAATCCGGCCAGCAACAGCACGACGACGTGGTGGTGTTGGAGCAGCATGGTACTCCGGCAGGGCTTCGCCAAGCGTCGCGGGAGGAGGAGGTGTTGGGGAGGGGGAGGGTTGTGCCTTGGATGTGGTGCGGCTGCCCTCCTGCCTCCCCTCTATTTATAGGGGCAAGGGAGAGGGGGGCGGCCCCCTCCAGATGGATCTAGAGGGGGGACGGCGGCCAAGGGGGGAGGCTTGCCCCCCAAGCTAAGGGGGGCGCCCCCTTTAGGGTTCCCCCAAACCCTAGGCGCATGGGCCCTAGGGGGTTTGGCGCCCAGCCCACCTAGGGGCTGGTTCCCCCTCCATATTCAGCCCATAGGGCCCTCCGGGGCAGGTGGACCCTCCCGGTGGACCCCGGAACCCTTTCGATGGTCCCGGTACAATACCGATAAACCCCCGAACACTTCCGGCGACCGAATAAGGACTTCCCATAGATAAGTCTTTGTCTCCGGACCATTCCGGAACTCCTCGTTACGTCCGGGATCTCATCGGGACTCCTAACAACATTCGGTAACCACGTACAAACCTTCCCTATAACCCTAGCATCATTGAACCTTAAGTGTGTAGGCCCTACGGGTTCGGGAATCATGCAGACATGACCGAGACATCTCTCCGGCCAATAACCAACAGTGGGATCTGGATACCCATGTTGGCTCCTACATGTTCCACGATGATCTCATCATATGAACCACGATGCCAAGGATTCAATCAATCCCGTATACGATTCCCTTTGTCTACCAGTATAGCACTTGCCCGAGATTCGATCGTCGGTATACCGATACCTTGTTCAATCTTGTTACGACAAGTCTCTTTACTCATTCCGTAACACATCATCCTGTGACCAACCCCTTAGTCACATTGAGCTCATTACGATGATGTCTTACCGAGTGGGCCCAGAGATACCTCTCCGTCATACGGAATGACAAATCCCAGTCTCTATTCGTGCCAACCCAACAGACACTTTCAGAGATACCCGTAGTGCACCTTTATAGCCACCCAGTTACGTTGTAACGTTTGGCACAACCAAAGCATTCCTACAGTATCCGGGAGTTGCACAATCTCATGGTCTAAGGAAAAGATACTTGACATTAGAAAAGCTTTAGCAGACGAACTACACGATCTTGTGCTATGCTTAGGATTGGGTCTTGTCCATCACATCATTCTCCTAATGATGTGATCCCGTTATCAATGACATCCAATGTCCATGGTCAGGAAACTGTAACCATCTATTAATCAACGAGCTAGTCAACTAGAGGCTAACTAGGGACATGTTGTGGTCTATGTATTCACACATGTATTACGATTTTCGGATAACACAATTATAGCATGAACAATAGATAATTATCATGAACAAGGAAATATAATAATAACCATTTTATTATTGCCGCTAGGGCATATTTCCAACAGAAATTTCCTCTGGTAATGGTATCAAGAATATATCTATTCCAAGGAGTGATGCCTACATAAAAATTGTGAAGAAGAACGGAAGTAGATTGCTTCCTAGTAGATTTATTTTGCGCATTGCAGATTCTGAACCAAGCATCTTTTAGATTTTCTCCCTCCCTTTGTTTAAAATTAAGGACCTCATTCTCGGGAGATAAAGGAGTAGCTAAAGGACTAGCCATAACGACAAAGCAAGCGGAAGAAAGGGCGAACAAAAAAGAGGGCAAATAAAACGGCAAGGACGAAGTGGGGGAGAGGAAAACGAGAGGCAAATGGAAAATAATGTAACGCGAAGGATAAGAGTTGTGATGGGTACTTGGTATGTCTTGACTTGGCGTAGATCTCCCCGGCAACGGCGCCAGAAATCCTTCTTGCTACCTCTTCAGCATGCGTTGGTTTTCCCTTGAAGAGGAAAGGGTGATGCAGCAAAGCAGCCTAAGTATTTCCCTCAGTTTTTGAGAACCAATGTATCAATCCAGTAGGAGACCACGCGCAAGTCACCTCGTACCTACACAAACAAATAAGAACCTCGCAACCAACGCGATAAAGGGGTTGTCAATCCCTTCACGGCCACTTGCAAGAGTGAGATCTGATAGAGATGGTAATAATAAGATAAATATTTTTGGTATTTTTATGATATAAATTAAAAGTAAAGATTGTAAAATAAAGTAGATTGGAAACTTATATGATGGAGAATAGACCCGGGGGCCATATGTTTCACTAGTGGCTTCTCTCAAGATAGCATAAGTATTACGGTGGGTGAACAAATTACCGTCGAGCAATTGATAGAATTGAGCATAGTTATGAGAATATCTAGGTATAATCATGTATATAGGCATCACATCCGTGACAAGTATACCGACTCCTGCCTGCATCTACTACTATTACTCCACACATCAACCGCTATCCAGTATGCATCTAGAGTATTAAGTTCATCAGAACAAAGTAACGCTTTAAGCAAGATGACATGATGTAGAGGGATAAACTCGTGCAATATGATATAAACCCCATCTTTTTATCCTCGATGGCAACAATACAATACGTGTCGTTTCCCTACTATCACTGGGATCGAGCACCGCAAGATTGAACCCAAAGCTAAGCACTTCTCCCATTGCAAGAAAGATCAATCTAGTAGGCCAAACCAAACTGAAAATTCAAAGAGACTTGCAAAGATAACCAATCATATATAAAAGAATTCAGAGAAGATTCAAATATTGTTCATAGATAATCTTGATCATAAACCCACAATTCATCGGATCTCGATAAACACACCGCAAAAAAGATTACATCGAATAGATCTCCAAGAGAATCGAGGAGAACTTTGTATTGAGATCCAAAGAGAGAGAAGAAGCCATCTAGCTAATAACTATGGACCCGAAGGTCTGAGGTAAACTACTCACACATCATCGGAGGGGCCATGGAGTTGATGTAGAGACCCTCCGGGATCAATGCCCCCTCCGGCGGAGCTCCGGAAAAGGCCCCAAGATGGGATCTCTTGGTTACAGAAGGTTGCGGCGGTGGAATTAGGTTTTCGTGATGCTCTCCGATGTTTTCAGGGTATGTAGGTATATATAGGAGGAAGAACTAGGTCGGTGAAGCCACGAGGGGCCCCCGAGGGTGGAGGGCGCGCCCAGGGGGTAGGCGCGCCCCCCTGCTTCGTGGCCTCCTCGTTGGTTGCTTGACATCCACTCCAAGTCCTCTGGATCACGTTTGTTCCAAAAATCATGTTCTTTCATTCCGTTTGGACTCCGTTTGATATTCTTTTTCTACGAAACACTGAAATAGGCACACAAAAATAGCAATTTGGGTTGGGCCTCCGGTTAATAGGTTAGTCCCAAAAATAATATAAAAGTGTATAAATAAGCCCGTTAAACATGCAAAACAGAATATATAATAGCATGAAACAATCAAAAAATATAGATACGTTGGAGACGTATCATGGTGCGCGCACTGATGTTTCCGCTGACATTGTGTCGGCTTTTGGGGCTCCCAACTCTCTGTTGCCTCTTGCGAGTTGGATATTGTTTTGTCTCTGCTGCAGGATTTCCATTCTTCAAGGTTGAACGACGAGTCGATTCCCCTTCATGTTGTCATTGTGATGCTCCTTGTGAATATGCTTCACACATTGCTCTTCTCTTCCCAGTCACGACCCACGTTCGGATCAATTTGGGATTTGTGCCTCCTCCATCACTAGACCTCACATGGGAGGTTGTGACTCCTGACGGCCTCAACACCAACATTTGGCCCTCTGTGGCGTTCAACATCATGTGGAAATTTGGGGATCCCGCAATGCTCTAGTCTTCCACGACAAAGATCACCACACAAGGGTGACACTTAGAAACATTGTACTAGATTTTTTTTCTCTGGATCTTCCTGTTCAAGAACACTGCGTCAAAGGACCTCTCGTCTAGGTTTGAGGACCCCTGGTACTGTAAAACAGTGTGGCTAAGAATATATTCAGATGGGGAAAAAAGGACAATAGTTCATTGCAGTTGGTGTTTGCTCTGTAAAAAAGCCCGTGCATTATGCAATGCGATGGTCAAGATCATTCCCTTGAGAGTAAGCACGCTGCATTGTGATCAAGTGGACATGAAGGCCATCGTAGGCAGGGCCGGGAAGAAATATAAACGGTGACGCAGGTGTGGAAACAGAGACGTTTTTATTGTGTATGTAAGGGGCCTATGATTTTGTTCTCCCGTTGCAACGCATTACTAGTTATCTAAAAAAAAGTGCACCATCTCCATAGTAAGTGGGAAATATTAGATGATTAATTGTAAACTCCAAGAAAAGGTGTAATGGAAAAGCAAATGTGTAGCTTTCTTTTAGTTTTGGTTCAACGGTGAGAACAAATCAGATATTGCTCCAATGCATCCTTCCAAAGTTCCAAATCAACAATACAATATAATAACGCCGTGAATATGCACGCTACAGACAGAGCAGGGTAGTTTGCAAGCAAGCAAAGTCATTCACGCTTGGTAAGCGAGGATCCTCGAGATCTGCAGGCCCCGGCTGAAGGCTTGGTTGAAGAGCAGACGCGTCTGGAACTCTGACATGAAGGGGAACCACGAGAGGACGGCGATGGGCAGGAAGATGAGGATCCCCATGGTATACTCGTACATCCTTGCCATCTCTTGGATGGAGTCCCATGGCCCTATCTTACAGAGCACAGCCCCACTCTGCCTCAACTTGGCGCAGCAAGGCCCTCGGCATGCTCCACCAGGGCAGCAGGAGCAACACAGCACGCCAAGTGGCTCAATCACTAACCTCCGAAACAGCGGTCCACACACTTGTGCCATCTACAACACAAGGGGATGTTATGTGACAGTAGTATAAACTTATATAAGAATTTACCATCTTGGTCAAAACGTGTCGTCTTCTTTTCATGACAAAAGGGGAAAAGTGCTAGTAATAATTGTATAAAAGAAAGAAATCACTCACCAAAAGAATAAACCAGACAGTTGGGATGAAGGCCAAGACACTGGCGCCAACGTCTGACACAGCGAGATCAAAACCAACAAATAAGACCACCATCAAGCCGATGAGGACAAGAAACACAATGCCCTTGAGTATACGGAACACAAGCTGAAACTTGGTAACAAACTTCTCTCTCCCCAGTGAAACAACCTGGAACGCATGAGTCTACCTAAGCAAATGTACCATAACATGCATGCGAATATATATGGATGCAATACCAAGCATATCTACTGTTACCTTTAGCAAAACAAGAACGATGCCAATAACCAGCCACGATAGTGCATATATCTGGGTGGAACAAACAAAGCAGCATTATTATTCTACCAGAAATGAATGGAATGTTTCTAGAGGATAAGGAGATTTAAACAGGATGAGTACCATGAAGCTTTTGTTCTCGTGCACTATGTGCAAGTGGTACACAATACCATATTGGTAGATCAGGAGGCGCAGCGACAGAACCAGCTCCAAGAGCAAGCTACGTATTGTTCCATTCTTTAGGTGCTCATGTTCACTCACCCACCAAGCCTCCCAACTTTGCTCAGGTGCCAGCCCAATACCACCCCTATTGCTCATCCACTTCCACCAATCAGTCCAGTCATCAACCGTCTTGTGCCACTCAAAGCATGATGGGTTGAAGATAAAAGGTGCAAACAGCCAGCAGAAAACAAGGAACCACATCGAAATTGTGACGTATACATACAAACTCGAGCTCCTGTAAGAACTCCCGTATGCTAGATAAACAACCAAGAGGATGAGCAGCTCCAATGCTTTCACAAAGTGGCTCCGTGAGTACATTCTGTAATTCTCAGCAAATTTCGCATGGCGTACAACAAAACCCCGGCCTGTTCCTCTATATTTTGCACCACCATGAAGTATAGTCCTTCCATAGTAGTGAGTCTTTGTCCCGAGATGAAAAGTGAAGAACATAGGAGCTAACTGAAGTTGCATGATTATAAACTCAGCCAGGGCTTTACCAAACCCTTTCTCCAAGCCGACCTCCATTATCATCGGGAGGATGAGCAACGTCCCAAGTTGGAATACCGATTGGGTGGCAAGTGCATTTTCAAAGGGTTTGATGTTTTTAATCCGTGGATCATGGAGAATCGACTTTTCTAGGCCACTCAAAACAAGATACAACCGCCCATATAAAAATACATACACCGTAAGAACAGCCACCTGAAAATTAAAGCCACAAAACTCACAATGATTTATGTGTCTTCTGTACTTTGAACGGAACACATCATACTTTCTATCTGTTGGCCATTGCTTGAAAAAATAGAAACATCAATCCATATGAGGTGAGGGAGCTTTGTACAAATCATCTCAAACGAATAAAATGCAGAGATAAGAAAACATGCTTGCATGATGCAACATGGTCTTATGTGCATCAACATAAGCTCAAGTCAATATATTGATATCAATCGTTATAAAACAAGTAACAACGGTAGCTACTGATTTCAACAAGACTATTTGCAAGTATGATCCCTGAGAAATCAAAACAGAAGAGTCTATATCTGGTCTGCTGTTATATACTCACAAAGTAAATCAATCTGATTTTTTACCTCCTGGAAGTGCATATAAAGTTGATATGTGAAAGCATGAGATTCATACCATGCTATTGAAGTAGAGGCCAACTGTGGTGAAGTACATAGACAACATCCTGTAGAAATCGAATCTGTGTCCTAGTCGGTAAACATCACGACATAGAGTTTGTTCACCATTACCGTTTGCCACCTTGGCCTCAAAGTTGGATATTTGGTTCATTCCAACATCACGTCCTTTACCCAACTGTATGTATTCATGATGGGTAACAGTTCCTTGTCGCAGGGTTGAATTGAATCCTTAAATATATCAGAACAATGATTAGCTTATTGGAAAAGGAAGAAAAACTGTATAATGCATATTCTCTGGATATGGTACCTGCAAAGATGTCCTCACTGAGGTTAATAACCTTTGAGGCCTTGCTTATGCCACCCCTTGTGATGTGAAAGATTCTATCGAAAACATCAGGGTGACCATAGTGGAATCGTACCCTGCATCACAAATTGAAATTTAATAAGTGTAGAATGTCCATAGCACAATGATCTTCAAAAGAAAGGTATGCCTAAATCACTCTGGTCCTATCTATTTCCTATATTTACTTATGGAACTACCCAGTTACCACTTAGACCCACAAGTCTCATTTAGCCATTGTATCTAGCAGAGCTTACGAGATTAGAAGCGCTATTTACTGGACCGCATCAGGCAAAACCAAAGCAGGGAGCATCGGAGGTCTACACGCGCCAGGTGCCTCCTTAGTATGTGGATCTTATGAAGCATCGGAACGACATTGTCTTCAATGGGGCGGCTCCGTCAATAGCACAGACTACTCAACGAATCGAGCAGGAAGGAAGATTATTGGTGAAGGCAGGACTAATCAAGGGTGAGGTAGAGGGGTTTGAGGTGGATGGCTCAACGTGGGTAGATCGGGAGTAGTTCGTTTAGGTAAATGAGGTGGTGTCGGATGTAAATCCGCATGTAAATTATTTGTAAAACCGTGGAGTTTTGGGGACTCTTCCCCCTCCTTTAATGAATGATACGCACACTCGAGCGTATTCGAGAAAAAAATTTACTGGACCTCGCTTGTTTGAAATGAGTCGTTTGTCTAGCAGTTTCCCTAATTTACCCATGGTAATGCCAATCAGTTGGAACCTGTGAGGAACTTCAAACTTCGGCATGAATAGCCAAATAGGTAATCGATCTAACTCCCCCCCTCCCCCCTCTTCAAAAGAAAAAACCCGGCAGGAACATGGTATTTCCCGCCAGCTTTTCCTTAGCCCTGCATGACATACATTTGAAACATGTGATTACCACTTCAAAAATATATGGCAATCTGCAACAGCTTTGAAGAGCACATCAGCCGGATGTAATTTCCACTTAAGATTCCACGGAGACATGACTAGCTCAAATGTGAACTTACTCATGCTTCTCAACTCTTAACAGTAATGGTGATGCTGACTGTCAGCCATTAATTCACTGGACTTGACTACGTTGCGGCGCCGCACGTAGGGCTTCCCGTGCGGTGGCCCTGCTAACCACCCCTTTTAATCGTGGATTTAGTATGGGACAACTAGTCATGTCTCCGTGGCGCGCGCGTATGTGATAAAGAGTCAGTTGTCTGACGCAAAAAAGGCCTGCACCAATATCCCCTGGTTCCCCTTAAAAAAACATGTCCCCCGGTGGGCATCACCCCTACTACTACTAGGCCGTGACATGCATGACGATCGCTTTCACCCCTTCCCCACATGTGAGCCAATGTCCTCTCTTCTCCCATCACTTTCATCTTTCCCCACGCTGAAATGTTGGCACCACATGCATGTAATTCAGCAGGATTTTCCCCCCCTATGCTAAGAGCAGCCTGCCATTATTTGATTGTCTATGTACTTATCTACTTTTACAAAAGATTGGTAAGTGTAACACTATCTCTCAAACCGTTGATATGAATGATGATCAGTTTCAGTTACTGGCTTTTCAGTGGAAACTAAGTCCTATGTTTGCATTGTTTCAACTTTTTTCGTCGGTACTTTTCAGGTTATTATACTTATCGGAGTTTTGTACTTACTTGCCATATTACAGTTTAACCGTGCCACTTGTCATTATACTTGCTTGTCGGATTTATTGTGCTTACTTGCCATATTACGGTTTAATTGTGCCACTTGCCATTATACTTATTGTCAAATTTCTTGTACTTACTTGCCAAATTAACAGTTTAACCGTGCCACTTGCCATTATAATTGTTGGATTTATTGTGCTTACTTTCCACATTTACACTTTAACCATGCCACTTGCCATTATACTTGTCGGATTTATTGTGCTTACTTTCCATATTTACACTTTAACCATGCCACCTGCCATTATACCCACTTGTCGGATTTATTGTGCTTACTTGTCATATTAACAGTTTATATTGTGCCACTTGCCATGTTTTAGCAGGTGTAATTGCCAAGTTTAAGAGGGTGCAATTACCAAGATATATATACATGGTTGCCATGTTTAAACAGATGTACTCGGCAGGTTTAAGCGGGTGTGGTTGCCAGCCTTTAATAAGAATAAGTATAGTTGTCGGGTTTAGCGGAAAAAATGTGCAGTTCCCAAGTTAAATTTAGGAGATAAAAAGTAGGTTACAGGTCAATTATTAAGTCCGTAAAGTTCTTGAGGCTCGCCGTTGGACGAGTCAGGGTGAGAGGGGTGATGGCGGACTCCGCTGGCGATCCCAGGGGCGACTCGCCCGGCGCGGCATCTCCCCCTGCCCCGCCGCCCCCGTCCTCCCCGTCGGCGCCCCCCACCCCCGTCCTCCTCGCCGTGCCCTCCGTCGGCCTTTGCCCCCGCGCGGGTCATCTGGGCCAACATCGTTGAGGCCGACGGCCTCGAGGATGGCCGCCTGGTGGTTTGCCGCGACCGTGTCCCCCCCTGCTCCTGCTTGTGTCCGGCGGCCGGACGGTGCCGGTGGCTCTACTCCCAGGGGTGGGAGTTCGGTCGCCCGCCCGTCCTCCCGGCATCGGCACCGGCCTCTGAGCTCGTCTCAGTCGCCGGGGAGCCAAGGGGTGACTTTGGGGTCGGGTCGCCGCAGCCCGCAGGGCCGGGGGGTCGCGGGCCGCGCCGACCGCGGTGCCGCCCGTCTGTCCAGGCGTGCTGGTGTGGCTCCTCCCTTGGGTCCGGTCGCGGCGTCGGCCATGGCGTGGCCGGCGGTGGCTGCGGTCATGTCCCGGCGGTCGCCGTTTCGCCCGTTCATCTCTGCCTTCGGCGTCCCTGTTCCCCGTTCGCCCGGCCCTCCTCGGGGCCTGCTCCGGCCGCGCCCTCCCAGCCCTACCCAGGCCGCGGCGCCGACGCTGAGAGAAACCCTGCTTCCCCGCTCAGTCATGATGCTGGGGCTGGACCGCCCGTCTCTCCTGGGCCTCCCTGGGCCGGCCTGCGTGGCCCGCTGCGGGCCGGG